AACGCCAGAGGGGCACCGACGATGTGGTAGCCTAGACCGCCGCCAATTTAATTCACCTCTAGGAATAAACAGGACGACAAACACCTCAGTCTCCCCCGTTACCATGGGTGCCGTAAAGTACCCGAAACATCGGGATTTAAAGAAGTTAAAATTAAACGCGATAAAATCTGTAAAGCTTGGCTATACCACGGAGTATAGCCAAGTTGCAGCTATATTAGTAGTATAGTTGTAGCACGAATGGGTCGGCTCAACCTGGGAAGGACCACGCTCTCACAGAATACCAGCGTAAAATAGCATCGTAATGCTGCTGTGTTTCGTATGATGAGTGTAGAGAACCAGTGACCGTTTTTACTGGAAACAAGGCATTCTATCTTAATGCTCACATGTAATAACGCATCTGCATTTTGATTAGTAATCGAGGATGGATGTAGATGTCTATGGGCCACAGCAACCAATTACCATCAGGTGGACAGTGTGCTCGATTGCCACCCTATCCTATATCAAATAGCTCTACCAGGTCAAAGTATACCACTACCATTAGGTTGTGTACTGACACTTATTACCATTAGGTTGACTGTGTTCTTATTTTTCACTCTTATGTCAAAAATGTTCTAACTCTATTTACGAATATTTACACATAGATATTATAAAATGGTTAAAATCATTATAAATGTTTACGTACATGTATATATAATCATTTTGTATTACTAAGCTTAATTTTCTGCACCTTTTTGGCAAACGCATTAAATGAATTATATATGCATGTACATATATAATTCACTACTTAAGGGACGGATTTTTATCCGTACTGTATTTTGTAACTTAACCGAGGCGGTATATATACCACTTACAAATCTACTGCTATAAGCGTGTGTAAAATTGGTGATACTCGCTGAAGTTGGAGGTGAAGCTGGAGAGTTCAGCTCCGACAGTGTCGTCAGTGCGCTGGTCCGGAGCGCTCGTGTATGCGCCCGCCCAACCTCTCGCAACCACCTGTTCCGCCCTCACGGAAAACATTACTTAACTGTGTTTGTTGCAATATGTTTTAAGTAAAAAGGGGATAGAGTGAATTTGTAATTTAATAATTTATAATTAGACATGACCAATTTAGTGATCGATTGACACCGCGAGTCGTTTTTTGTGCTGTTTCAGATTATTTGCAATTGAATTAAAAATTTATAATTTAATAAAAAAAAATGTATAATACGTTTAAGTCAGCTTTTAAAATTTACGATAAAATATATTTTTTAATAATAAAATAAATTATTTCAATATCTTTTTAAAACAAATACCAGTAGGGGATTATTGATTTTTATTGACGATATATTTGACTACGGGATAGATCAAATCTACGCTTTACAATATTAATAACGTACCCTACTACATAATACAACAAACAAATTTAACAAACAACAAATTTAAAACCTATGTAATATGGGAATGAGAGTGTATAACTACAGGCTCTTTTACTGCTCTTTTGAATAATCTGGAACTTGGGTCAAAAATTAATCAATTAAGTCTTTCATGGATATCTCGTTGTAAAGTTGACATATTCTTATTATCAGGTCGTAAAAAAGAAATATTATTCTTACGTCTGCGGTTAAAATGTCTTGCTAGGAATTCGTTGTTCTTTGTAATTAAGTTTAATTCACTTAAGAGGCACAAAAGTTCACTACTAAACATAGACCTCCCCATCGATTGGTCCATGGTCACCACGCCTTAGTGCCACTCTTGGCAAGTAGTTTGGCAGCTGCAGTTTTTTTACTTGAAGTATTTTTATACATTTCTTCCCGATTAATAATAAAGATTCAGGCGCGTGGTTACCCCTGATAAACAAAATGTTATGTCCCGTTACCAATAAAACAGGTCTCCGGTTCTCTACACGCACCATACGAAACATAGTCAATTGTGTGCTTGGTGTTTCCCCGGTCGAGCCGACCCATTCTATTTTTAACTTTTTCCTTTTAACTTCTGCGTCTTTAAACACATCGACAGAATCTAGGGATATTTTAAATTTCATCAAATATCTAAAAATCTATGAAGAATTTACTGATATAGTAAATGGAAGAATGATAGGTTACTTTAAGGACTTTAATAAAAATATAAAACATTTCGTAACATTTTTGGTTTAAATAAAAATGTAAATTTTTTTGTTCGCCATAGAAAATTAGTATGATAAAAAAAACTTCATTTCTTCATAAAATACTTTCATAAATTACATTCTTCTTAATAAATATTGATTTAAATTAAAATTGAAAAATCTAATTATTAACAATAAGTGTTGCCACCTCTTACATTAATTACACACCGATATCGATTGTTCATACTTAAAATTAAATTGTCAATGTCTTGCTGCGGTATGAGATCCCACGTTCTTTGTAAGTGATCGTAAGATTGTTGTTTACGTCCAAAATACTTGATATTTTGAACATACTAGCTCAGAGTTAGATGACAATGTAAGAATAAGAAAATATATAATTTTAGTCATTTTAAATAATACTACTTTTTTACGGATTCGAGCACTTTACAGCACCCATAGCCACGGCGTGGGGGGGGCGACTGAGATGTTCAACGTCCAGATGTCATAGTTAACCACGGTTACCACAGTATGAACTTATAGTATCTTGAAGTCCACTTAGAAGAATTGTATGCTTGGGTTGGGATTTAATTTTATTAATTATAGGATACCAAGCAGATGGTAGCACCCAGACATCTTCTCTATTGAAATTAGGATGTTTTTCGAATTCAATAGCCTCGTCCTTCATCATCATCATCATCATCATCCTTGGAAGGAATCGGTGTTCTTTAGCGAGGATTTGTGGTCTAACAAATCTGATTTAGTGACGGGGGCGATCCTGTACGTGTTCACAGACTGCAGACTTCTCTGAGTGTCGATTCTTCACATCAGCTATATGTTAAACACGATAGCTAACTGTGAAGGGTGGCGGTGAGAAAACTACATACACTACATATTTAAATAATACAATTAAATATGTAGTGTTCGCGTAAATATAAGCAATAATTAATTTTAGTCTTTTTAAAAAACGTAGTATATTGAAAATATATACATACATAAACTTGTTCCTTCAAATAGTTATAGTTTAAATTATTTTTTTATATTAGAGGGGGTAAACGGGCATACGGCTCACCTGATGGTAAGTGATTACCGCCGCCCACGAACAACTGCAACAGCAGGGGATTGCGGATGCGTTGCCGGCCTTTTTAAAAAGGAGTAGGCTCTTTTCTTGAAGGTTTCTAAGTCGTATCAGTCCGAAAAATCTCTGGTGGTAGTCGATTCCACTAGAAATTTGTGAGAGGAAGAAAACTTCTTTTAAATCGCACTGTGGAGTACCGCCAATCATCCTACGTGGTAAGGACGGTACGAGTATCTCGAGTTTTCGAGCGACCTTTTCTAGGACACTTATATTTTGACACTTAAGTCATTCATTTCAGATCATCATATAAGTACGGGAAAATATAAATATTTTCAATAAAACACGGACTATCTCCTGTAAAATGGATCCCCGTGATAACTTAGAGATTCCTAAATCTAGATTAGGTATAACAAGAAAGTCTTTTTTGTGTAAATCCATGAAATTTCACAAATATCTTAAAATACGGTGCAATAACTGGATATAAAATAAAATATAAAACTGTGTAAGATTTTTTTAAAAGCATACTATAAAGTAGATCATTGAGGACAATGATTGCAAATGTATTACACATCCGTTCACCGAAATTTACAAATTATTTCAAAACATTTTCAACAGGGCAAGGTCCTCTTTTATTGCTGTGGGTCTGACGAAGTAATAACATTCGAACTGTTTTTATTCGCTCCTTTTTATTCGATTACTTACGTGTAAAGAGGTTTTGATCAAGATTCAAGTTTGGTGCGCTACGTCTTTGTAAAATCGGTCTGTAAATATGTGTTGAATAAAACTAAATTAACGGATTTTATCGCGTTTATTTCACTACTTTTACTTATTTTTAATTTCCGACGTTTTGGGTGCTTTACAACAACCATGGTCACGGGGGGGACTGAGATGTTTGACGTCCCAATGTCATAGTTAGTCCGGCTACCTTCAGTTTTTGAATATTAATTTTTGGTCCGATTTACGCAAAACGAGCTTATAGTATCATGAAGTCTTGCAGTGGTATGCTTAGGTTTGGGTTTAATTTTGTTAATTATAGGATCCCAAGCAGGTGGCAGCACCCATCCATCTTCTCTATTGAAATTTGGATGTTTTTTAATTTCAATAGCCTCGCGTATCATCCTTGGTAGGAATCGGTGTTCTTTTGCGAGAATTTGTGGTTTATCAAAACGAATGTAATGGTGGGAACGATCTTGAACATGTTCGCAGACTGCTGACGCTCCGGGAAGTATATAATTATAAAGCAGTTATAGTATATAGGTATAATTCGTCATTTATATGAATAATTTTAATATATACATAAAATTAAAGTGTCTGTCCCTAACATCACAATAGCTACACTCTATTGAGTACAATGGCTTTTTGGCTGCTAATAAAACCATATCCAAATGTTTTGTTTGTCTGTCTGTCCGCGCTAATCTTTAAAATGGCGACATCGTTTGTGATGAAACTTCACAAAAAGTAGAGAGCAAGGTTGGGAGCGATACAGGCTATATTTTTTTTAAAACTTGGAGAGTTTTTGTCTCTTTCAAATTTAAATAATGCCACGTTAATAGATTTAACCCTGGCGAAGCTGGCATAGGTCGTTAATAATATAATATATGGTTGTTTGTTATAACAATGAATTATAACATAAATATTTATCATTATTTTTTATTTAATAAATAAAGCAACTTTTTTTGTACTTTTACCGACATTCTTCCCTATTCATATGAACGGCTGGTATACATTTATCGTTCTTCGAAAAGCATGACCAACTCCTCATCAAGTTTATAAGTGTCTTAAAAAAATAAACGTGAAGTGCTAATCCGGTACTTTGTGAAGACTGAAAAATACACCAAATCAGAAATGGGTATGTATTTTATTTGTATATGCATAGGTGGTAGTGATGTTTGGTCTATATATTTCCCTTTCAGTCCACCGCACTGCTGCAGCGCCTGTCTGCCAACTTCGCCTCGAAATATTTTATTGTTTTTTTCACGATATTTTCCTTTATCGGAACCTGGGTTTATCCTCACTAGCACCAATGAAATTGCGAGTTGTATTTAAAATAAGTGGTGTACCACGTGTTCAGCTTTAAAGGAAAACGTCGTGAGGAAATCTGCATTTTAAACTGTATAAGAACTAAATTTTCGGATGACATATTAGATCTTTTAAATGAAACTAGTTTTTAGGGATTTCTTCCGGCAGCAACTGAGGTCTTTGACGTCTCAATGTCATAGTTTACCACATCTATCTTCAGTTTAAAATCATTATTAGTTTAAAATCATAATTCATAAGAGCTTATAGTACCTTGACGTCTAGCAGTTGTTTACTTAAGTTGTGATTAAATTTTAATTATTATAGGATCCTTAGGAGACGGCTACACTCAGATATCATATCATATACATTATTATATTAAAAAAATTATAATAATAAATTATCTATAACATTGGGACGTCCCTCAATCCCCCCGTGACTATGGGTGTTTTAAAGTACTCGAAACGTCGGAAATATAAAATAAGTTAACATACACAGTAAAATCAGTAAAAAATAGTTGCATTTATATGTGTAGTGTTTGCGTGAACATATAAAAAATCATTATGTGAGGTCTGCCAACAAGTATTAAGGTGGAGACTTTCTTGCTCAAAAAGCCAAAATAGTACGTAATGTAATAATGCTCACCAGACCATATTTCAGGACAGGACTGTTGTGCACGAGCACAGGTGCAATCTCTATCCCCTCACTTCCCTCATCTGATTAGACAGCACTCCGCCATGTACCATAGAACGGTTAGGCGCGGGATAAGCGCCTTTTCGTGCTTCCCGTAGTCCAACGAACGAAGTAAAACACTCAACTTCCTGACTACGCGCTTCTTTTTACAATTTCTTTACAGAAAAATCCACAAACTGATTTTGACCGAACGTCGAAGTGGATTTGAACCCTAAACCACATGATCAACAACTGCACTTACGAACACTAGACGAACACCACGCAGTGTATACCACTATACAGGTGTAACTTTGAGATTTGTTGTTGGTAGAGGAAGAGTGTGAGGAGAGCACGAGCCTCCCCGTGCGGTACCGTCCCGAGTCACCCGCTGCCCTGGCGCGCGCCTCCCGGTTCACTCCGCACGAGAGCAAGCTCATGTACCGCGGCTTCAAACAGGTCAGATAGTTTGTTTTAAAACTTGAAGGTTAAGAAAGAACTTACAGTCCATCTGATGGTAAGTGGCCACTGTAGTATGGAAATCTACCAGCATATTAATATAAAAACACGGTAGATGCACTGTTAGGTCTTAAATAGAATGAGGGGATACCAGAAATAAGTATGTTGTGGCCCATAGACACCTATATCTATCTTCGTTTAGGAATCAAAATGCATTTTGTTTTATAACTGTTATGAAATTAAATGAAATGAAAATTTCTTGTAATAAAAGCTCTATTGTGGTTCCTCTGTCCGGAAAAGGCGAAAGAAATTCCGCAGTATCCTTTTCCTGTCATTCAGAGGCCCGTAATGTAATTTTATTAATTAAAATTGATTATGAATAGACCTATAGGTAAGGACCATGTTTTTTTGTTAGGTTATGAAGAATTTACATTTTGGGGAATTTAGGTCAGAGACTTGTAACCTACGTGACCTTATGATAAAGTCATAATTGAAAGCAAGCACAAAACATACAAAACATCACAGAGGGGGTATTTGCCATAGCTACCACGCTTGGCTGTTTTTTGTTTTCCAAGTATTAAGATGACGCTGTTGGCAATCCCTTGGATTGAAATGAAATGAATGATTTTTTATTAAATATAGATTATTATATAATACTTATTGAAAGTCATTTTTTTATTTACCACGGGTTCAGAAAATACTTCTGTCCTGAGAAGATTCAGTAAGAAACCCAGCGGGATTTTTTAAACAAATTTTACGACACAATAAATTTGTTTTATATAAATGGTGGTGATCACCTCATCCGCAGGGGTTATTTCATTTTTTTATAGAATAAGGGTGACATACGAGCACACAGTCCACCTGATGGTAAGTGGATGCTGTGACCCATAGACATCCAGATTTAACCTCGATTACGAATCAAAATGCAGATGCGTTGTCACCCCTGAGGTCTAAGATGGAATGCATCAATTCCAGTGAAACTGGTCTCCGGTTCTCTACACTCACCGTACGAAACACAGCAGCATTAAGTTCCTATTTTACGCTGGTATTCTTTGAGAGCGTGGTCCTTCCCCAGTCGAGCCAACCCATTTATACTACAACCATAATATAGCTGCAGCGCGGTTCTAACACGTATGAATTGTGCATTCTTTGAATATTGTCATTTTATATAATTATTTGTGTATTCTTTGATATTAATAAGTATATTGCGATTACAAAGTTAATATATTTATTTCTTTAAAATTTTCTTTAAGGGACTACAATTTAAGTTATAAATCAAAAAAGAGAGCCGTACGGGTAGGGCTCTCTTTTTCAAAACAAAGATGGCGTCAATGGCTGTCGTAAAGCGACAGTTAAAAACTAAAGAACCTAACCTAACAACAATGAAACAACCAAAAAAAAATAATTTATTTAAAATTTTAAAATATATGAAAATGATAATGGGGTTTCAAACTAGAAGCATCATGGAGTATGCACAGGCTATGCCTGTGGTAGGTGCGCAGCGCCTGATCTAGGCACACGCAGCGTCTGGAGTAGGCACACGCAGCGCCCGGACTAGGCACACACAGCGCCCGGAGTAGGCACACGCAGCGTCTGGAGTAGGTACTCGCAGCGTCTGGAGCAGGTTTAGGCGTAGGCGTGGCTAGGCGACGACTTCAGGTGAAGGCAGAGGCTTGCAGGATCCCGGGGCAGTGCGGATAAGTCCTTTAGGAGATGCTTACAGTATGAAAGTTGAAGCGAGACTTTTTTTTTTGCGCCCGAAGCAATTAAAGGGCTACCCTATACGTAGGGAGGCGGAAAATGTATTACGCATACCACGATAGCCGGTCTATCGTGGTTATGAGGGACTCACTGTCCTACCGGGGACCCTAAGTGATACCCTCTAAAAACCGCCTTTGGGGACAGGCAGCCGGCTGATTAAGCTGTATTGTGCCTTATCGTGAGCGACCCTCTTTTGGGAAAAGAGGGCGCAGGCGGCTAAGAGCCGCTGAGGGAGTGCCTACGAAGGCAAATTAATATTAGTTAATACAATAATTTTACTTAATTAGAGTTGGCCTGAGCCGCCAGGAGGCAGTTCAGGTCGTTTGTCAGTTTATTGGGCGGGTCCGAGAGAGAGTTTCTCGGCCTGAGGACTCGATAGCGAGAGGGTGGTGGGGCTGCATAAGAAGCTGCCTCACGAATTAAATGGTTTGGGTGCGACTCTGAGGCTTTGTAGAAGTTCTCAGAGAGTTTTTTAAGAAATTGTTGAATTGTTGGGAGCTCTAAGTCCCGATGAAGGTCGGCATTACGGACGTACCAAGGTGCGTTCGCAGCTCGACGACAGAAAAGGTTTTGAACTATTTGGAGTTCATTAATAATATTAGGGTTTGCGTGGGCAAAGACGGGGCCCGCGTAGGACATGACTGGTCGTATACAGACCTTATAAAGGGTACGCTTGTTTCGGAGGGACATTTTACTGTGTCGGCCCAACATACTGTTGAGCCTACTGAGATAAAACCATACGTGACGGGTTACTCTTTTGACGTGGTGCCTGAAAGTGAGCCCTGTGTCCAGAGTGACACCCAAATATTTGGCGGTCGTATGCCAGGGGACAGGGGTCCCTAGCATACGTATTGGTGGAGTGTTTTTGAGACGGCGTCGTTTATAGTCGAAGTGAACGGCGGAGCTCTTCTCCGGGTTCACATCGATGCGCCATTTTTTGAACCAAGCTCCTAGGTCATCAACTGACTTTTGGATCTTGTTCCGTATGAAGGTCAGTGAGACACCTTTGCAGTAGATAGCAGTGTCGTCTGCGAAGAGGGAGAGCTGAACACCTTTCGACGGGATGGGAATGTCGTTGGTGAACAGGATGTACAGCAGAGGAGCAAGTACTGAGCCCTGTGGGACACCAGCCTTGATAGTTCGGTTTTTTATTGGCCGATTGTTCGGCTTTTATACTTTTTGACGGGTCTGGGATAAGAACGGGAAATTATTTAAATTAAATTTGAAATTATTTAAATTAAAAGCAAATTTTTGTAAATGGCCAAGAGGAAAAGAGTATTTATGTGAAAGTATGGAGTAAAAACATCAGACCGGTAACGAATTTCCAATAAAAATTGCCTTGACAACCAGATAAACAACGATATCAAAACATGTCAAATTTTGGTTTTAGGCTCGTAATAAAGAAACGGCAAGATTTAAGGGAAAAATGAGATATTATTGATATAGGAAAAAAGGTAGCGCAACAGTGCGCACGAAGCCCGAAATTGCAGAGTTACGGAGAACTAAATAAGAGACCGAAAAAGGTAGACTCCATTGATACCGATTTAAAAAGTGCTGATAACGTGAAAATACGATGTGAAAATGATTTGTTATTGTGTTCTTATGGTTTAAAAACGTTAAGGGATCCTATGGAAATAAAGGTGATGCAAAATATCCAGTTTTGAGGCGAATGCATAAAATCAAAAACAGAATGGAAAAATAAATTTAAAATAGTGTAAAATGATATGTAAGTAGCATAACACTACATGGCATATGTTGAATTTGAGCACCTCATTGTTGTGAGCGTATAAAAACCCCCATGTTCTATTTACGATATTTTTGAAAAACTTGTGGAGGAAATTTTTGTTAAACTTAATAAATTAATCTTACTCTTAAATCTGTTGTAATAAATTCAAAGAATCCAGAATATTCATAGAAAAAACTTAACTGGAGAAACGATTAACATTTATATAAAATCCGAATATGCTCTTAAGTTTTTTGCGTCCCTAAACACAAAAGATCGGCTTTCCGAGGTAGTTTTAAGTTTACGGCAACTAATTGTTCTCTCTGGGTGTTGTTGATACCACCATTTTTCTTGGAATCACAATAGACGCAAAGCTTTAATGAAGCCCCCATATATCAAAACTAGCAGGCAGACTTCGTTCTGCAGCATATACTGTAAAAAGATTAGAAGTTTTACCATTGTTGATACAGCTATACTACTTTACTTAAGCTGTTTCCATAGCATAATGTCGTATGGTATTTTGCTATGGGGGTACGCGACTGACACTGAAATAATATTTGTTTTACAGATGAGGGCCATTAGAGCAACTTATAATTTGAAACCTAAAGAGTCGCTCAGACAAAAAATTATAGAAATTAATATATTAACTTTGGCCTCTCAATACATTTATAAAAATGTATTGTACGTACACAAAAATAAAAGTAGTATTACAAAAATAAGTGATATTTTTCTGTAAATACTAGGAATAGGCACAAGCTAGTAGCACCAGTTACTCGGTTGGTGATGTGTACGTTTTTACAACAACTTTCAATATGTTTTATTTATAATATATATTGAATAAAAAGTTTCCATGCTAAAAGTTCGCTATGAAAATAACTAAAATAACCTGAACTAGCTATCTTAACATTGTTGAAATTTCTAACCTTCCTTAGAGCATATGCTGCCTGCTACTTAGACGGAGTAACCAAAATATAGCTACAGCATGGCTCTACCATGTAGAAATGAATTGACTAGATTAAATTAAGATTATTACGTGGTAGAGCAATGGTGTAGCTATATTAATAGTATAGTGTAGCAGGAATAGTTCGACTCCACCGGGGTCGGACCACGCTCTTACAGAATACCCGCGAAAAATAGGAGTGTTTCGTATGGTGAGTGTAGGGAACCGGAGATCCTTTTTAATGGAAACGAAGCATTCCATCTCAGTTCTCAGTGCTGGCAAAGCATCTGTAATTTGATTCTTAATCGAAGATTAATGTGGATGTCTATGGGCCACAGCAACCATCAGGTGGACTGTGTGCTCGTTTGTCACCCATATTCTATGTAAAAAAACCACTTACACCGCCACTATGTATTTGTATTTTATATATTATCACGTGTATTTTTTTGTTTCGTAAAAATCATTATAAAATATTCGTCTTGACAGGAGTGTCCCACAGGAATGGTGGATGAAGAGTCCTTCAAGAACATATTTTCACAGTTCTTCCCTCTCGGAGGTGAGTGATACTTGAATAAACATCGGTTTTAATGTCTTGGCGTCTTATATCCACGCGAACACTTGACATGGGAAACGTAGCCATTTTTCTATAATTATTCAAAAACAAAGAGAAAAATAATCGAGATTTTGCCAAGTAGAAAACGTTGGATACTTGGAACGATGATACGTCTAGTAATTAGGTAATTAATAAGAACAATCTGCCTGCGTCTTCAAAGCAAGAGTGAACAGTTTTTCGTTACGCTAAAACAGTGCGATTTACCAACTAGATGTCTGCGTTTTCGAATATTCAATTACTTTACTTGTACGCTCGCTTTTCGCGGCACCACATGTGTAATAAACTGCCTCGTTGATCCAGTGCCCGTAAGAGCAAATGCTGATAATCTCGGGTTCGAATCCCGGATCTGTCCGAAACCGATTATTGTGTATTTCTATCAAATAATTCTCATTATCAGCCCGGAGTTTGTAAGTTGGTGAATTGATTAAAACTACTTTTACGGAAGTAGTTTTAATCAATGTGTAGTGTTCGCGTAATATAAGAAATCATTAAGTTGGCGAATGTTCCGCGTGCTTTCCTAAGAAAGCACACAAAAGTCTGCTAGTACTGCCTCAGTGGACTAATGTTTTTTTATATAATGACATTTACAGAAAAAACATTACATAATATTGTAACTTAGCCAAACTATAAAGACAGTTTGTTGACGAATAAGTGCACTCTTATATACTATTACATAGTTAAATAAGTACTGAACCCACATAATATAACAAACAAATAGAAATTTTAAACATAAACGCTATAATTTCCACATTCTATCAACTCCAAATACAACACCCACCCACATAACATTGCAAAAAAATAAAAATTATACCCGGATATATTTTTCAAATATTACAAACATAATATACCAGTTTTATAAATGGTCATACATCTAGCATTTTATCCAAAAAATAATTCCCATGTTTCTTTTTAATTGTTAATTTGCAATTCTACCTCAGGTCTACCTCGCCTTAGCCAATCTATTTCATTAAAAGCTTTGGTATTAAATAATTTGTACATATTTTACCATAGTAGTTTTTAATACTAGGCTGAAATAAATTCCCTTCTCTAACTTTTCCCGTTCTATATTTACTATCTAATTTTTAGTTATAATGGTTTTTATTAATGTTTTTCAAAACTAATAGATTGCGACTGCTGAGCGTAAGATTCCCGGTTCGATTCCGGCTCGGGACAAAAAAAAATCAGTTGTTGAGTTTTTCCATTAAGAAATTCTCAGTAGCTGTCCAGAGTCAGGAAGTTGGCGGTGTCTCATCTTCGTACCTCGAAAAGCACGCTGGTCCTGCGCCTGATGACGCTCGGTCGTGTCGGTTTACCGTCCCATCGGACCATTAGAGGAAGGCAATAGAGAGTGCACCTGTTCTTGCGCAAACACTTGCGCACTATAAACCTGTCCTGCATCTCCGTTGACACTGGCCGCTGTGACCGCAATGCAGTCTGGAGGATGTCCCACTGCATCGGACTCTTATTTCTGAGAGGGATTTAACGCAAGGAAGTGTTCACCGCACTGCCTGAATGCGTGTAAGCGAAATTCTTATGTCTTAATGATTTCTTATATTTATGCGAACACTACACATTGATTAAAACTACTTTATTTAATCGCGTTTATTTTATTTTTAATTCTTATGTTTTCAAAATATTTTTTATACTCAGAGATGCAAGTGTGCAAGAAATCTTCGTGAGGAACACGATGATTTCCTTTTAACGTGGTAAATGTGTTAAATTACACACAACAATATCACAGGTGCGGCCAGCGTTTATCCCCTAAGGTAGTACGCCTCCAATAGGAAACCTATTTAGTGCAATGTTTTTTAATCCTCATTAAGTGATCGCGTGCTGTGGAATCCCCTTATCACAGTTGTTAGTATTACGTTGACCTGCAGACTGATGCCCGTTTTCTATTCTAGAAACATTTCCTTCGAATGAGATGATTTTTTTATAGTATATATTGGAAGAATGTTTGTGCCTATGTCATAAGAGTGGAAAACGAATTTTCGAGGGATCGGATACAACCATTTATAATAAATACGTGTGAGGACACAGATACCGATGAATGTTCTTCAGAGTGATTGATTAAACAAAATATTAACAAGTTGTTATAAGTATTTAAAATAGTTAAGATAAAAGTAAAACAAATTAAATTGTAGATAAAGGTTTTTTATCTACAATTTAATTTGTTTTAATGTTCAAGTACCAAAATTCGTCATTCCAACTATACTGGTTCAGTATTATCAACAGATGGTTAACTTCAAGTGTTAAAGCAATAAAATAATCACACAACAATAGATTAACATTACAGCTGTAATTGCTAAGTGTCAAGTGGAATCCTGCCATCCTATTTGAAATGAACTATACATGTCGACAAACAAGCACACATTCTACCTGTATGTAGTTGCTGTGGTCCATAGATATCTAAATATATCCTCGACTAAGAACGAAAATGCAGATAAGTTGTCAACCCTGAGGACTAACATGGAATGCCTTATGACCAATAAAGGAGGTATCAGGTTCTTTGTACTCATCATACGAAATACAGTCACGCTGGTATTCTGCGAGAGCGTGGTTCTCTCCCGGTCGATTCGACACATTCGTGCTACAACCGCAATATAGCCGCAGCATAGCTCAACCACGATACTAGAAATAAAAATTCTACATGTTTTTTAATCTTCTACCGTTTCAAAATGAGGTCCATCTGTCCAGAGAAAAAACGACGAAAGAAACACCGCAATCATCCTCTTTTTCATAGAATAATATGACATACATACATATTATCATTTTTGTCTTGTGCTTTGAAAAATCTATCTAGTGGGGGGTCACTTATCGAGACAAAGCTGCTTCGAATGACGTTGAAAATATAACGATGGGCTCTGTCGATTTCCATGGTACTCTGGTACCGACAGGATTTGTACATCGTATTAACAGCCACGTTGCCCTAATACAAAATATTTTTAATTTGGCAGAAATGTGGGTTTCGTCATGATGTACTCATCTCTGTGTACGTATTAAATCATCACACCGCGGCCATTAGCGCTGCATTAAATGTGTACTTAATGTATAATTAAGGTTTAAATCATACAATAAGAACTCAGGTTGTATAAACTACTGAAAGACATATTTAAGAAACAGCTTGGACGCGACCATCTCATTTCCAGGGCTTATTATCAAATATGTATACATTTATATTATTATATATATACATTGTATACAATAACAGTATACATTGCCCCAAGTACAAATGACACGTGCACTTTCTATTCCTTCACCTTTCGATCAACAATGATCGAAGCCTTCACCCTTAGAGATCAATGGGACGAAAATCTGACACGACCGGAGAGAGATCAGGCGCAGGACCAACGGCATTACGTGCTTCCGAGGCATGGGGGTGAAACACCGCCAACTACCTGACGTCGGGCTGGTACAGAAAACTTCTTGATAGAAAAACTCAATAACTGGTCATTTAATTATAATAACTGATTTTTTGTCCCGACCCGGGAGTCATACCGGGACCTCATGTTCAGTAACCCTGTAACAAACACTAGATCAATGAGGCAGCCAAACTGCTGTAACAACAATTTAAATTACGTTTTATTTATTTACATATAGATGCGTCGCAATACGCGCATTTCATGTTCAATGCTGTAAAACACAAGCATGGAGGCAAATTAAGCTTTGAGGTGAGTGTACTTATGGTACTTGTAAATTGGAATATTCGCTATTCTGTGGAATGGCCAAATATTTAAACATACATAAAAATGAATTATAAATACAAAATGTTTTTGTTCGAAATTTAAATATGCAATATTTATTATCACAATAACAGTCCTACTCCCCGCGGTATAGTGCCAAGAACACTGACTTTAATTTAAATTAATTGATTTGTTAGAGAAACACCTTTTAAGGAAGGCATGCGTACGAGAACCACATTATTTAATTCCTCCCTCCCCTTTCCACCATCGGAAAACCAGACGGTCAGCTGGTCCTCCTTTGTGGTCAATATTTTATGTTATAAAACCAAACGGTTTGCTTCGTCTTTCTAAATGCGTGCAGCAAAGGGGTGAAATCATTTACCGGTGTCTGTATTTACGTTCGATTTTGGTTGACATTGGGTGTCATGAATAATTATTTTGCAGGAGTTTCTCGACACGCTGTCACGGGTTGCACGTGGTTCTGTCTAAAGAGAAACTCTCCTGGGTCTTCGCGCTGTACGATGTCGACGGTGATGGACGGATCTCCAGGTCAGAGATGCTGGCTGTAGTGCAAGCAGTATATGAACTACTTGGGCGGGCGGCGGTGCCCCCCGTATATCCAGTATCTACTAAGGATCACGTAGATAAAATCTTTGACGTGAGTTCATTTATTCAAAATAAACATTTGAATCGACACATGGTCATCATTCATTACTGCAACCTGTCAAAAGTCTATTGCAGAACAATGGTTGAACCAGTTGCCACGCTTCAGAAGCGGGTTGGCAACCGCAGTCTTTTTACCATTATTGAGTTGTTATCAGGAAGATAACCCGTGGTAGCTCAGAGGTAAATTTGGCAGTAGGCGACCAACCCGGGTTCGATCCCCGCCAGCACCAATGAAATTTTTAATTGAAATTTTAAGTCCTGATTTACTACGTGCTGGGCGGTAACAATCGTGAGGAAACCTGCATGCCTGATAAATAAGAAAAAAATTTCTTCGAAGACATGTAAAGTTAGTCAACACGCATTAGGGCAGCGCGGTGGACATTTCCTTGCCCTAAAACCCTCTCAGAAATGAGAGGTCTGTTCCCAGCGGTGGGGCGTATATAGGCTGTAGCTTTGACTTGAACAGGAAGATGACGTCGCCATGGTAAGTGGTTGCTGTGGTCCATAGACATCTATATATATTCTCGATTACGAATCAAAATGCAGATGCGTTGTCACCCGTGAGGACTAAGATGGAATGCCTCGTTTCCAGTAAAAAGGGTCTACGGTTCTTTACACTCAACATACGAAACATAGCGGCATTGAGCTGCTATTTTAAAATGGTGTTCTGTGAGAGCTTGGTCCTTCCCCGGTCGGGCCGACCCATTCGTGCTACAACTATACCACTAATATAACTGCAGCATGGCTCTACCACGTATAGAGAAGAGTGGTGTTGGGAGTATGTTCGCAATTGAGGGTGGGCGGGAGGTGCCCTTCAAACTAGGTAAGACAAATCATTTTATTTTTCGAGCGGGTGGTTGCAAAGTAGCTCTTAATATCTTTATTAAATTACAGAATGAAAAAGTTTGTTTTCCAAGAGTTGTCCGTTGTCGTTATTTAAAACATAAAAGAAACCAGTATTAAATTGCTAGTTTTAGCAGGTATAAGTGCTTGAGTCTTCCCGGAGCATTTTGAATCGTTCTTAAAATTGCAATTATGGACTACCTTCATGTTTGGCAATAATTTTTTGTTAGTTTTTTTATTTAAAAATATATTTTGTTTCAATAAAAAATTACATAATTCTATGTTGTAAATATATGTTAATGATCTCTGAAGGTTTTAGGTATTTATGAAGGATGTAAGTGTTAAAGGTTTTAGAATTTGCTTACAGGTGGATCAAGTGGGAGGTACTGTGTTAGCAGAAATTGTGAGGGTGAAAGGCACAAAGAGTCACATCATTTAATGATGAAATCTATATTTCAGCCACCTTCATTCTCGATCTCTAAGGATTGGCTTCAGGAGTTATACATTTCCTACATATAGCCTATTAAAAACCACTGCTGAATATAAGCCTCCTCTACAGATTGCCATGTAAGGAGGATGTAGTTGCCAGACAGGTTTGTTATAGTAAAGATTTATGACCAGGAAGATGCTGCTGCCCACTACCTGCTTCGTCACACGATATGGGATAGCGAATTCTCTTACAGCTGGACTTAGTTTTAACTTTTTGTATAGTTCTTGCAATTCACAAAGTCGAGCGAGGTTTAGTCGTGGTTGCGAGCATACCGTCGCTGTGATCTCACGGTGGCTACGTACGATCTACGTATGCAGATTCGTGTTTACCACAATTAAAGTTCACTCGAATTCGTGAATCGCAAGAACTTATGTATACGTGGTGGAGCCATGTTGCAGATGTATTGTGGTTCTAGAACGAATGAGTTGGATCGACCGGGAAGGACGATCCAACTCATTCGTTCTAGAACTTTTCATAGAGTACCGTTGTAAAATAGCAGCTCAATGCTGCTATGTTTAGCATGTTGAGTGTAAAGAACCGGAGACCCCACTTACAAGAAACGAGACGTTCAACAAGGACCTCTCAAAGGCAAAAATGCATCTAAACTTTAATTCTTAATCGAGGATCGATGTAGATGTCTACGGGCCACAGCAGCCGATTACCATCAGGTGGGCTGTGTGTTTGCTCGTAACATTTGTTCTATAAGTGAAACTTTGCTGCAGCTGATGGACACGAACGGCGACGGCGTGGTGAGTCCGGAGGAGCTGGCACGCTGGTGCGCGCGCGAGCCGGCGCTGCTGCAGTCGCTGCAGAGGCTTGACACGGTGTTGTGATGTGCGCCACCGCCCCGGAACACAAGCAGGTTCGTTCTGCAGCAGTAGAGGGTGGAACATCGTCGCTGTCCTGTAGTTCACAGCTAGTCTCAACGAAGACTAGCCACTAGCGCAGGAGGTTATAGTGCAGTAGTGTGTTCGCCAGCACGGGTTCACTCACTCTCATAGTCCAATTGGACTATAATTCTAGACGACCGGATATCAGGCGCAGGGCCAACGGATTTACGTGCATTCCGAGGCACGGCGGTAAAATATCGCCAACTTTTGGGCAATAGTCCCACTACTGAGAATTTCTTGGCAGAAAAAAACAATTACTTATTTTGGATCAACCGGGTTCGAATCCGGGACCTTATGATCAGAAACCGCGTTTTCGACTACTATACCAACGAAAAAGTCTACACAATCACATCAGCATTAAGCTGTTAATTTACACTGATATGTTGTATGAGCGCAGTTCTTGCCTTGCTACGTGCTAGAGCCATGCTGCAGTTATATTAGTAGTATATTAGCAGCATATTAGTATTAGTAGTATAGGTAGGCTCGACCGAGGAAGGTCCACGCTCTCACAAAATACCAGCATAAAATAATAGCTTAATGCTGCTGTGTTTCGATTGGTGAGTGTAGAGAACCGGATATCCTTTTACTGGAAACTAACCATTCCATCTTAGTGCTCACGGGTGAAAACGCATCTTCATTATAATTCGTAATCGAGGATATATGTAGAAGTCTATAGGCCACGGCAACCACTTACCATCAGGTGAACTGCGTGGTCGTTTGTCACCCCATCCTATAAAAAAAACCTTACCACTACCATGTAAAAACTGATCAGTCCGTAAACTTGCAACGGTGAACTGCTAGGTATGGTCCACTGCTAGTGTAAGAAGGTTTTGCTTTAATGACTACCCGTGACAGGTTGATTAACCTCCGCAGTATCAGACGCCTCACACCTTCGGCGCTGCTTCATTTAACAGGTTTGGGCGATTTACATTTATCATACGAGACCCTTTTTACTGGAAACGAGGTATGCCATATTTATCCTTATGGATGACAATGCTTTTGGTTTCGGTTCCTTATCGAGGATAGATGTATTTTGGTTGTCTGGAAGAAATTTCTGTCAGCAATAGGACCGCATATTGCATACTTTGTTTGTCTATATAATCTCTGTAATTTTTGTGTGGCGTGCAATAAAGAATATTAAATAAACGGATAAATAAATAGATGTAGATGTGTATGCTATGTGTGCTTATTTGGCACCCTTATTCTAAATATTTTTATTATATAAGACTTTTCCATCCATCTATTCATCAAAAATTTGGGATGTGAAAGCGGGATTTAGAAAGGGGAATGGGGTGTAAAGATCAAGTCTTTTCTAATTTACGGTAACTAAAGAATCGTAGAAGTTATAATGTTTTGTTGTATTTTTAGGAACAAGAAGCGCAGGCGTCCTGTTCTAAAGTCACCAATCCTAGTGATATCCCTTCTTCGCCCGCACGCCTTACAACGACGGTACGATTAATCAAGTTTTTCGTTATTTATTCAAGAAGCATGCACATCACCACAGTTTAATAATGTTCTAGTGGGGATTTTAACATAACTTGGTTCAATTTGTTTTTGCTTTACAAAAATTGGGTTAGACACAGGCATACTTTAAGGCTAGGTTAAGTTCCTTTTAAACCATGAAAATTTGCGATTATTTATTTAAGATTTATTTTTTTGTAGTTGACTGAAGAAGCAGCACTTTGGAAGGCGAAACGACGTGGTCAACAATCAATTTCATCTCAAAAGACGCGGTGAACCAAACTAGACTTTAAAAAGCTGTACGTAAGGATCAAATGGGATCACTTCATTGTGCTTTTTCTTACGTTTTGTAACCTAGGACTCTTTAAGTATTATAATAAAACTTGTGAAGGCGAGTGATCATGAGGACCTGAATGTGTGCATATTGAAAAATTGACCTTAATTGCTAATTCTTAAGATTTGAATTTCTTAAATTCGCTTATTTTACTTCCATACGATTGGTAGTAATTATTAATAATTTTAATTAAATATTCTTTAAAATCAATCTAATATCGCTTAGTTCACAAATAAAAGAGACAGAAAAAAATAGGAAATTTAGAAGTTACATATTAGATAATTATAAGTAATTCAAAATGGCGAACTTTTTACCGCGTTTTCATTTTTAAGCTGTGTTTATAACTAGTCTCTAGCTCATCTGGTTGTTAGTTTATAATTGATTGCATAATCTTTTCCAAAGGAACTAACAAACAAATAGTTAGACAAGTGAGTTTAGCCTATATAAAAATCTGCCTAACGGAAAAACAAGCAAACTGATAGACAAGTAAGTGAGTTTATCTTACGTTTTCATCTAGTTCTGAGCTGTATTTAAATATTCTAGTCTTTAGCTCTTTAGACAATTATTTTCAAATCAATTACAAAATTTATACCGAACATACAATCAGAGAAGGAAGCGAGTTGATATAAACGTGGTAAAAGTCTTATATTTTATAAAATACGTCACGCTTAGCTTAGTTTAAATGACTGCGTGTCTAAAGCACTCATATATTAAATTTAAATCTGCTTCAAGTAACCGACGAAATAACTATCATAATAATAAGTACAAATAACACAATTATTTTGTCAAAGAAGATGAACTTTGTTTTGTTTATTTTACACATTACATTTACAGATAAACCCATACAAAAATGACTGAGCTCAGTTTGAAATCAACGATCCATATCTACAAACTTGAACACAATCTTATTTAGCAGTGGGTATTCAAACCAAACGCAACAATACATAAAATACTCATCTTAAATAGTTTCTGACACTTAAGCAAAATCTCAAAACGCGAACATGAAGGTAACAGGTAAAATAATTATTTCTAGTGTTCAATATAAATTTATCGGACGCTCTGATGTTTAAGCTCTTTCTTAATGCTCTAGATCCAGCTCTACAATCATGTTATAATGACGTTGATATAAAAATCGATAAATTAACCAATTGCAATTGTGCTCTTCTAACTAGATAATAATTTATCATACGAGTAGAAACTAATGTAATGCTTGAAATCTCTTCATCTATTTATTGATTCAAATAATATTTAGAATTTATTAAAGTGAATCATTAGAAACTAAATAGAAAAAGAAACTAAATATAATAAAGCTATAATATTTAATTAAAAGTATTTAAATGTGTTGCAGGAAATATGCGAAATCAGGTTTTCTGTGGAATGTCCACTTGTTGAAATAAATTTTAATTGATCCTTATTCAAGTTAAACTTTATAGTCCCCTACTACTAACAAATGAGCATGCGGCTCAACTGATGTTCATAAATAGTTGCAATACCAGAATAATTTCAGGTGCATTGCAAGCATTTTGTAAATAAGTAGGCTTTTATGTTGAAGTTCCTAGTAGTAGAGAAAAGGAGGAGGTTGTTCCCGATAAATCGGAAATTGGTGAGCCATCAAGTGTTGATAATAGCATTTTTATAACCTTGTGTCAATAAGTTAAATTACTTTATGGTTATAAATTTATTTATGTATATAAAGTAAGGTTTTTATTAAGAAATAAAAGTATATTTCAAAAAGAAGTGAAATCCAACATGCATTAGGACAGCACAGAAGACATTCGCTTGCCCTAAAATCCTCTTATAAATGAGTCGAAGTCTGCGTCCAGCTGAGATACTGCTTAGAAATTCATAAAAATAATATTAAAATTGTTTCTTTAAATAAAATTTAATCAACACAAGTAGTTAATCTCAGTCAAATATATATTTTTAATTGTTTCATGAGCTTTTATTTTATTATTATCTAGCTGGTACCCGGCGCATTGTCGCCGCAGAAGGAATGATTATGGAAATATCTGTTTTTTGTTTAATTAGAAACGATAATATATTGATTGAAATTGATTGGTATATAACTTTCAAATAAATTTGTAGGTACGATACGATACGCGCGCCATCCACTGTAAGTCAATGTATTATTGCATGCCTGTAACCTTCGCGTAAGTGCAAGCAATAAGTTGACAAAGGTTTACAGCAATAATGATGAACAGTATTGCAGCGCATAAAATATAAACAAACATTAATTTTTATATATTAAGATTAGACATTTCACGTAATACCTGATTTGTATAATCCCAGTAACATTTTCATTACGCTAAATGCCAAATTTGAATAATATGTGATACTTGATGTTTTAGATAATTTATTACTAATTTTTTTTAAATATATTTTTAAATTACTATCAATTTCTTAAAGCAATATTAAGTGACTTCTCGTGTATTTTACATTAATCTAAAACCTTAAAGACTCACTCTAACTTTACGAGTACAATTTATTATATATTTATGCAGACTATTGTTTCAAAACAATTATTATTAATATAATTTCATGTAGTTAAGAAATTACGTGTTAATTATATCTCTTGTTAATCTCTCTATCTACTGTTACTCGTTAGGAAAATAAATTTTATTTCAATTCTATTAGCTTAGCAAGTGCTTTAATGGAACTATGGGGTCAATAAATGTTAGTGAACTTTGCGGAGACGACCATTTATACAGGAACAGTTTACGTGTTTAAATTGTAACTGTTGTTTTCTAGTTTCTAGTACGTATTGTAGTAATAAAACATTTCTTGGTATCTTTCAATTGTTTTCTAATTATTGTTTGTTTCATATACCTGCAAATGTTTACTCAGAGATTAATCAGTGCCAATTTAGCTATGGACTTGGAATTTCGAGCTACGCTATTTAAGTCAAGCTCTTCGCTTTTTATTGCTCTGTATTTGTTTATGATTTAGAATTAATTTATACGCAACATTTACATTTATTATTATTTTAGTAATTTCGTTACTAAAATACAAAGTAAACGTTTAAAAAAGTGTTATCCAAATTCAAAAAAATTAAAGAGTGTAATCATCGAAATCAGTTGACTTGGTAAAGAACTATTCGCTTATCTGCAGATGCCTTTGCAAATTGAAGAGCTTGATGATTTTCTCAGGG